TGCTGAAAGCTGGGTGCAATAAATTCATTTATTTCCCTCTAGACCTGCTGGAGTTTTCTCAGTCAATATGACGGAGTTCAGTGATATGAGGGAGTTCTATTGAAATCAATAGTGTTACACTGGGGTGAGACTGCTGTGAGAGAAGAATCAGGCCCAGTCTCTAGGATTTTCCTTGTTACTACAGTTAAGTGTGCATCAGACATTTGTAAACAGACAGACACAGAAAGAGAAACAGGATTATAGCTACATTTTGGGTAATCACTTGAGCAATGAAGAAGCACTGATATGCCATTGTTTGGGTCTGGCAAAATGTATCTTTGTCCATCTGCACAGATCTGATTACAGAACTGCAGTCTAGTTCTGCAACCCTGCCTAATAATGGCTAGAACCTTCCTCCTTAAAAAGTCCCACTGATTTCATGAGACTACCCAGAGACTACCCAGAGAGTAAGGAAAATCCCACCTGAATAAGAGTGGCAGAATCAGGCCCATAGGGAACACAATGAGAGGCACTGACTATTTTATACCATTATGTCTAGCAATGATTCCAAGGTGTGTTTACAGGTGTGTATTTGTGCGCATGCACGCGTCTTGATATTTCCCACATTATAAACCAGTTGCTCGCTGAAGGCACTGAATCTTCTTCAAGCCTTTCAAGCAGAGTTGGGGTGTTTACTAATGCGAGATACACAAAATTGAACAAGAAAAGAGAATAAGCAGAAATTTCTGTCTGAGAAGATACATCTTGAGGTCGGGCAACAGAGAGAAAGTTCCCTTCCTCCACTTTTCACCTCATGGAAAGCAAACCTAATAATCTTTGGCGCTTAAGTTAAACTTCCAAATTTACAATGTTTGAGTGGGTTAGAAATAAGACAAATAAGTTTTCCCATCTCTAGGATAGAGAAAGTTTTGATCCTATCACAACGGTTGTGTTTTTGCAGTGCCTTCCTACTGATGGTTCAGATGACTATTGCGAAATATCAGTGTCTTGTGTCTCTCTGCACTCTTTTAACCTTTGATCCAGTCCCATATGGACTTCATCATCTAGAACGTCATAAGCACAAGAAAGCCAGGAAAACCACCAGAGCAAAAGCATCTCTGTATACTCACGAATAAATGACTGACCATGGACCCCAATGAGTTAGTGCTATTGCAAAACTGAAAGCCATTTCAAAATTCTTTCCAAGGAATGTTAACAGGGAAGCAAGTAAGAAGCTGCTGTCACAGGCTTTTTGGAGCCTTTTATTAATACGCTAAGAATTCAGCATTATGATAGAGAACTAGAGGATTTACTGAATATTATATCCAACTTAGTTGCAGGTCAGTAGAGAACTTTTTAACATTTCCAATTATCCTTTCTCCCAGCATGCACTGGGTCTGATAGAAAACCTGGGATGGCCTGTTCACGGGCTCTCTCTACTTCAATTGCCCCACAGACCTGGTCAAGAACACAGAGGGGATCTTTCTGGGTCATTGCCTACAATCATTTTCTTTCTACCAAAATGGTAGAAAACACATGCCACTGGACTTGGTTAATTTATTTGGGGAAAGAAGGACTTCTTCAGCAAGTGTGTCATGTTATTTTCAGCAGACAGGGAAAGCCTTCACCTTCTGAAGCCTGTACAAGCGCAGCTGTTATATATTGCCTAAATACCATCATGATTGGTTGCTTTATAAATATTCAGACAGGTAGCTATACAGGCTGACTAGATAAGATATAATGACTTATTATTGCGTGGATTAAGAAGAATCAATATGGTTATGGATCCAAGGTATAATCTACTACATACAGCCAACATTTTCTCATTACACTTCTTCACTCTAGAGAGAGATTTAATTAGATTCCTTTCAGATATTTTTTCTTTCCATTGCTGTAATTTCTAAACATGAGTATGTGTGATATCTCTTAGTTTTGTGCATACAACATTTACACGAGACCTGGAAAAAAGTCTTATTAAGTGGAAGCTTGTAGGAAAAATGTTAAATCTCAGTTTCTCCATAAATGAGAAATATTTTCCAGTCTATGTCTCTATTTTCACTTGGCATACACATGACTACTCTGTTCTTTGATGTGCTCACTCTGGATTTGGAATGTTGTTTGCACAAGGAACAAGGCATGAAATAAGTCATTACTGGGGGGAGAACTAAAACTTTTTGGCTGGGAGAGAAAATGTGGATTTCTCAATTCCCCCAGCCTGGACAACAGTTAATATTTTCTAATGTATGTTTTATCCCAAACTCATCAGCATTCATTTAAGCATACCGCAAGAGAAAATTCCAACAGCTGTTGCTAAAGATGCCTTTTGCACTATGTACCTCTTGATAGGACTTGCAATATTTCCAAAAAGAAAAAGGGACCCAAGGACAGATTTCATGTGGATGATAAGCTGTTTGCACAACTGAAAGTCTGCCATAAATAAGTTACAAGGCTCAAGGAAACCCCAAACCTGAAACAATCTGTGATTGTGTAATTTTTGTGACTGACCTCAAACTTTAAAGTTTAAAACGACTCTAATATTAATACTTTACACTTATCCAGTGACTTAAATCTGAGGCTCTCAAACCACTTTACATATATCAGTAAATTAGGTATTTCACAACAAATCTGGAAGCGAGAGGACTATTATTGTCCCCAGTGCTAAGATACTATGGTAAGGGGGGGCCCATAACAAACCCTAAGATAAAACTCTTATTATTAAAATGTATCTACCATTGATTTCAATGGGAACCAAATTAGGACAATGCTGAGAGCTTTAAAAAAAGTCCCACTCCTCACACACAAACAACCACAGGCAGGTTTATAATCTATCCTCAGATATATTAGTCTATATACCCTTAATGGATTAATTCCATTCTTTGGACTTTAAAACGCTGGGTCCAAATTCTGCCTCCGATGGATGCATAGTCAACTGGAGTTGCATGTGTATATCTGAGGTTAAATATTGTCTTTATATTAATAGCAATCTATTAATCAGTATGCATAGCAAGAGAAAATGTATCTGGATACTAAAAGCCAGCTGTGAAACTGATCAGGCTGATTATGAGATTTTGGCCTCAGCTAATTATATCCACAAGGGTTCAAGAGCTGTTACTGAACAGCCACCAAATTGTTTATTTTCCCCTTGGCTCTTGCAAACCTCCCATATTTTGGTTTACAACTCCTTTTGCTACTCACAAGGCCCTCCCTTTGCATGATTGACTCATCCTTCTGGCCAATGATGGCTGAACATGTATGTCTCTGTATTATATATTTTCTATACACAAAGAGCAACCAAGTACTTTCAGTCTACATTAACTCCATTTTATATTACGAGGACAACAAAACGAGAGAGAAGAAAAGTAGGAGAGAGCACAGTGTGTGTCTCCTCTCCAACCGGCTGTATTGTATCACACTTGAGGACAAAATGGCTGCTAAACTCTTCTCACAGGAAGAATTCTTAGAAATTGGAAAGGTGCAGTACATAGAAAACAAAATACATCCATTTCATAGCTACAGCCCCTGAACTCTGGAGCTCATCAACCATGCTTAAAAAGCAGATGGAAGGCTTTGCGTTTCTGCCATCAGAAACTAGGCTAGCCATAGGAAGCATTGTAATATCTGAATTGAGCACTCATTGAGAATGATGGTGGGGAGGCATTCTGATATATGTATTACAGATCACAAGTCATCGATCCCATGGTACTCAACTTCATGAGAGTGGTGATGTACCAAACATTTATTTCAGACACCGCTGTTGCATCCCAGGCATCTATATATATATATTACCCATCCACTGCAACCACATACCAGATCCCAAATGGAACAATTTACTGCTATGAGACTTCCTACTGCCTGCCCTAAGCTAATGGGATGGAGGAAGTGTTTACAAGAACAGAAGGACATATGGAACTCACAGCTTGAATGAGGTATGTATTATACTCTACTAAAAAAAAAACCCCTTCTGATGTGAGTTACTGAGATTCCCCCAATAAAGAAAAACATCAATAGGAATAATTGATATGTCAATGTTTTGCTAACATGATGAAATCCCAACAAGTGCTTCTGTTCATAGGGAACAAATAAAGCTCGGAATCGGCTGCCCACAGTTCAGTGCACCACATCTGAAATTATCAAAAGGAAAACAACTCCCAAAAGACAGAGAGATGCAGAGGCAGACAGTAAACTGAGAAGATCAGAATCCTTTCCGTAGACACACAATAAAAACAAATGTGAAGCAGCAAACTGATTCTCAACATATACACTGTAGGTGAGGAAAGCCCATTCTTACTGGTCCCATCACACAAAAACTGAGCTATTTCAGAGGCTACAGCATTATTTAGGGCTAAAGTGTGCTGTTCAGGCACAGCCTGCAGTAGTGGGCAATGTGGGATATTCCATCCCAGCAGGAGCACCTGGAGGCATGCCACAGGCAGGCACAGTGCTGCCTGGAGTGCAGAGACAGCACAAATATTACTCTTCGATGGGGAGCAATATGGGGCTTCAATGTCTGGACACAAAGCCAGGTGGCTAGTTGGCATTGGGGGGGCAGAGCCACAGTCATGCCACTCCCAGCCCCCTCTGGGCTTGCTGAGTTCTTGCATTCAAGTGACTTGGAGAACAGCAATTGTACCTGGCCTCTGCACAGGAGTGCAAGGAGAGCAGGATAAAAGAAAGCTCCTTGAATCTTCTTACTCTACTAAATCTTGCGTACTCACACATGGGCACAAACAATGCCTTAGCGTCAGAGCATGCAGTGATAAGTGATAAGTGCATTTCAGTAAAAGGCCTGTTAACTCCTCCTCTTTCAGACCCTATTATTTTATCTACACACAGACATTCCCTCTTTCTTGCTTTCTTCTCCTGCCCCATTTCTAAAGAATCTCACTCCCCCCGAAAATGGTAGGAATGGGATTTAGATACAACCTGATGTAAACTGACAGCATTTGTAACACATGTGCCCTTCATCATGGGATCCAACTGGACTGTTTCATTCTGCTTAACATTTATACGGCAGACCTTACCATTCAAGGTGGTTTTCCACAAACGCAGACATGGGGCTGATCTGTACAGTGTAAGTGTCATTGGCTGAATACTCAAACAGGCCATAGTAAGGATTGAAGAGCTCCTGAGACAGAAGGAAGAAGAACTCTCGGGAGGGACCACTGTAGTCCAAGCTGGAAAGGAAATTCAGATAAAATGAGTCTCATTCCTAGCTGTGTGCATTTCATGCTTTGCATCTGCACTGGCTAATGTCTTACTTGCAGACAATAATTTCTAACATGTTTGCTGATGCTAATTCTCCTCTCCAAGGACTACTTTTTAATTTTAGGAAGAGACCTCAGCAAGTCATGATGCATAAGCTGCATTATTCCCCAACTAGCATTCCTGGAAGGTATCATGACACAGACATCCCTGAATATAGCTTTCTCCTATATCCCCTTTGTTCCATGCGGTAATAATTAGCTACTGCACAACATCCCTTCTCTCAGCTGGGCAGCAAGTGAGACAAGACTTCTCACATTTCCTTGCTCTGCAGGGCGCTATCTGCTTAATTCTGAACACCTAGATTCATGGTCTGGGTAGCTCACACGGAGGCGTAAAAGAGGGTTACTTACTTCCTGCATGAGTATGCAATCTGAAGCACATTCCAGTCCCAAGATATCAAACCTTGGGTACTTTCTTACAATGCATGGTTGTGGTCCCTCAAGTCAAGGATGAACATGACTGGGTCCTAACACAACTCTCTCTCCTGTAAACTGGTATGGTGATTTTTCACTTGGTAAACATGTGCTTTTTTAGTTTTCTGGTGGTTTCAAGTTTATTTGTATCTTGGGGAGCGGCATTTACATTTAAACTAAGGCTTGCTGTCTGGGTTTATGACTTCTCTCTTTAAAGGGTCACTCTCCATTTCTTTCTTTCTTTCTTTCTTTCTTTCCTTTTAAATCAGACCTTTTTCAATTATCTCAACTATTTAAAAAATGCTTCATGAATGCATTAATCCCAAACAAGATGGATTTATTAAAAACAGACTGTCCTGCAATAATGTTAGGCAGCTTTTATGGTTAGTCTAATATAAACCTCCACACAGTAATAAGAAAGAACCACTTGCAGCCATAAATCATTTAATGCCAAAATGGTTTCTGAGACAGGCATTACTTTTTACATTTAATAAATTCAAAGGAGGTGGAAAATTCTGCAGCTGGATCAGCCTACTCTGTAATAAGGCTGAAGTTATAGTAGCATAATTGCAAGTGGCTGTATGTCTGACTCATTCACGTTGGAAGGAGGCACAAGGCAGTCTTGCCCACTTTCAGTGCTACATTTTGATATGGCCCTTTAACTCCTAGCAGCTCTAACTCTTAAGTATGCAGTCAGATTAAAGCCATGAAAGTGAAGGACATTGGACCAAATTATTCTTCTGGTGTAACTCCACTGATTTCAGTGGAGTTACACTGGATAAAAATCTGGCTCAATTAATATAAAGATATGGGGCTAGATTCGCTATGGCTGGTGCAAGGTGGTATAAATTAAACCTGCCTGCTTCTCTAAAATCCCTCACAGGAGCCCTGCACTGAAGGCTTCTGGGAGATATATTAATTCAACACATTCCCTTCACAGCCAGCGCTGCCCAATTTATGTGTTGTGCTGGCTCCCCCTATGTACCGCACATTGCCAGGAACATGGGTCGTTGAGGGCACTTTGCACCATTAAATCTGCTCACCTCCTCACTTTCCACATTAGGGTGCCTCCAACAGGATCTTTGGCCTCAGATTTAAATGAATTCGATTTTTATGATTTGCAGGATACTATGCCAAACACGGTAGAAGTTATTGGGAATTAGGGGGAAATACCTAGTAAAGTTCATTAAATGAGCCATTGTTAGCATATTAGAACCATTCTCCAGATGAGTAAACTGAGACAAAGGAAAGGTTAATGATTTACCCTTGGTCACACTGTAAGGTGGCTGCAGAGTCAGGGACAGACCTTGCTATAACAGAACTTCTCTAACTTATAGATGACACTGACTCCATAGATGTTCACAAATTAAGGGGTTAATAAAGTCCATAATATCAACAGCACTAAAAGTAACCCCCTTTCTGACTGGTGATTTACTCTGTTTTCATTTTATCTCCAGATGAACTAAACTCTACAGAACTCTTCACTTGATCTGTTAGCAAGTTCAATCAGCAGCGATTGCTGTGCACTTTGCCAGCTGCCCCAATATCTTTGGAGCTGAAACTGTATCTCCCTTTTTGTCCCTAAATCTTTTCTGTGTTTCTATTAAGAGATTGTACGCACAACACAATTAAAACAGGATTCCAAGCCTTCATTATTTGAAACACTGGAGAGATTCAAAATGTCTTTCTTTAATTAAAGTTTGCAGATGAAACCTCATGTAGAGCATAACTGTTGATCTGAGGCGTTTGCAAGGTTTGTTTGGATAAGAAAACAAAAACTCAGCTGTTTACTGTAATCTCATCTGAACTACCAGATCTTCTTGGGTTTGCAAGATCAGCCAGGAAGTCTCACAAAAAAGGATGCCTCTAGAGATTTCCAGTACTTTCTGCTTCCGGCTGACAGTAACAATGGCTCTTCTAATAGTATTTATGCTTCTCATTTCAGATAGTGTGAGTGAAGAAAACATTTTTTCAACCACAACAAAGGTTCATTTTAAAGAGGCAGTGAAAATTGCTCATTAAAGAGGAGGATTAACAACCTGATATTTACTCGGGCTAGTGCCTCACTTCCTCCACTGTCCAATGGGGATAATACCCATGGCACCAGGATGGTGAGTTTTAATCAGTTAATGTTTTAGAAGAACTCAGGAACTACAGAAGTGCTCAGCATGGAGAAGTACTAAGTCGTACAAAGGTTTGGGTTGTTTTTAATTTTATATAAACCAGTCCACCTCCCCAGAGGTAATAAGTAAAAACTAATGCACATCAAGAGAGATTCAGCCTTTTCCCAATGCCATACTTGCTTTGCAATGCAATGACTCTCTCACAATTCACAATATTTAATAGTTCCCTACCCTTCCTCTCCTACAAACGTGATATAGAGTTTGTTCCGCTGAAGCTCCTTGCGTGAATAAGCCATCACCTGATTGAAGGTGCCTTCCAGCAAGTGATCACGCCGTATAATTAACCTGCAAAAGAACATAGTAATAAAGATCTTGTTAACCAACACTGCCTGAAACTCTTGAGAAGGGGAGTGAGAGATGCTATTATCAAATATACATAAAGGTAAACAGATGCTATTAAAGGGCCAGACTAAGCCCCAGACTAGGATGCAATTCTATTGAAGTTTATGGAGTTATGCCTGCTTGTGCAAAGGCTGTTTTTGGCCTTTTATTGTTCTTGTTTATTTGTTTAGTTAAGATTTACTCTATGACTGATAGATTTCTCCTCTAAGTGATAGCTGGGTTCAAAATCTTGCTGTACCCCAAAGGCTCTCCATCGCATCTCCTACAGAAATTAGTTTTGCAGATGGGCCTCTGGCCTTTCTACCTTCCTGGTGTCAATTTTGATCTCACACTGGATTTACACCAGTGGACTTCCATGGCATTACTCCACAAGATACACTGGTGTAAGCAAGGGCAGAATCAGTCCTTACCTATATACACTAAATGGCCCCATTTACTCTCCAAAACATCTTTAATTAATAGCCCAGTTTTTCAAAGATTACTTACAAGCTTGGCCCATTGTAAAAATATCCTCTATACAAGAAGTTCTTATTTTTCATGTATAGTTGAAATGTAATGACACTTAGTCCTTTTGGAATGTTCTTCATGTCTGCCTTGGCAGGACTATGAAGGGGATAACCAATGGCTAGAGCTCCTCAGACAGTGCAAGAATAGTTTGATGATGACATTTGCCTAGAATAAATTGACTGGTTTTCAGTTATATTTTCCACAACACATGGGGTTTGGTATGAAGCCAGCCTGATGCATGAATTCAACCAGATGCCCAGAAATACCTTAGAAGCATACAGTGCGTTAGGCAATTACTATAACTATCCATGGAAAATGGTGCAGAGAGGCAAGCCAGCTACCAGGCTGTTTGGAATGTGAACTCCACAACTGAGTGACAGAGAATTACAGGGTCAGATCCCAAAAATATATTAACAAAATGAATAAAGAGCTAGTCTAACTAATATTTAGGTGCAATGGGGAATAGAAAGCAATTGATAGGACCTGATTTTCAGCAGTGCTGACTGAACACCTGCACTGCCAGTTCAAATCAATGGGAGCTGTAGGTACTCAAGCCCACAATGTCTACAACAATCAGGGCCAAATTTTCATCCTGAGTTACATTGACATGTCAACTCAGAGTAAATCCAAAGGATTTGAAGTTACTTCAGAATTGTAATAGTGTATTGGCCCAATATCATTCACATTTGTCTAACATGTTATTTCTCTACCATTACTGGTATAGCTAGAAATACCAACATCTCCTTAAAATAGGTAGAGGAGGAGTGTAGGAACAAATGGATCCATGAGAAATAAAGCACCCCAGATATAACCCTCTTGTTGGCCTATTTTCTTGTTTACGTGTGTGTGTGTGTGTGTGTATACACACACTTTTCCTGGATAAAATACATCATCTAATGTTTCATTCCTGACCCACGATAATGATGTATCTTCACATATATCCGATCAATCTCCTGATTCATTACTACAGTGACAAGACTAAGATGCATCATGTTAAATTATTTTAATCATTTGACATAATACTCACTTAATTTTACCTGGACCTTGCCCATATCCTTTGGCTTCAAGTTTTCGATAGAAATTGCGTAACTTGGCTTCAAAGTCTCTCCTATATGGAGAAGGCGCTCTTGCGCTAGCTCGCTGTAATCCTAGAAGGGAAAAGAGCAAAGTCATAGAGTTTAAAAATCTTTTAAAGAGGGTCTTATTCATACACCTGGTGTTTTCAGTTACAACTTGCTAGAAAATATTATATGAACTTTTATTGGTACATGTAGAATTTTTGAGTGCTCATTATTTTCATGTTCTATTTGTCATTAATGCAGCCATCAGTTATTATAATTCTGTGGTTCCCAACAGTTCTGGACAGCTGCATCATCTTACCAAGATGATGGTTGTGGTCCCTTTATGCTTCCTGAGCCTTCAATTCTCATTGACTTGAATGGAAAGTCAATGGGAGTGAGGTGTCTATATACTCCTGAAAATCTCTCTCCTCACCATCTTCCAGGAGATCTCATTATCTGGCAGGATTAAACCTTTGAATCCAAAGCAGCACTTCTAGGGGGCCCAGGCCTGGCTGGGAATTGGGTTTTTCTGGGTTAAACACCTTCTGTATATTAAAGACATTCAGCTATAAACACAGAAACCTTTGTGGCATAAGAGAGGATTTCTGTCAGCAAGAAGTCTTACATTTTCACATTAACAGTAGATTTTCAGCAATTTGGGACCTGTTTTGTTTTGAAGTCTGAATTCTGAAAGCAGCCGATTAGTTCTGTTGTGTAAATGAGCATCATAGCAATCAGTATTAGAGAATGGGATCCATGAAATCTCATTTCCCTATCTCTTTAGAGGAGACAATGAAAACAAGTCCTTTTATGAGAAATTTGGCAGAAAAGCCTCCAGAAGAAGGAAACAATTTTACATTTAGTTGAAGCACAAAGTATCTGTGAAGACTCATTTGTAGCAACAGAAGGACATTACTATTTGACTCATGATAAAACAGAAAGGCACATTTATATAGCATTCAAGGAGAATCCCTAGTGAAGCTTCTCTTGTTCTGTCAGAATATTTTTTACACCACACTGGTTATTTTGGGTTGCTGCAACCAGTAGTACAGGTGAACAAATAGTACATTCACTCAAATCAATCATAGAATATCAGGGTTGGAAGGGACCTCAGGAGGTCATCTAGTCCAACTCCCTGCTCAAAGCAGGCCCAATCCCCAGACAGATTTTTACCCCAGTTCCCTAAATGGCCCCCTCAGGGATTGAACTCACAACCCTGGTTTTAGCAGGCCAATGCTCAAACCACTGCCCTGTCATATCATATCATATCATATTACCAGCTTTCCACAAAAACGTTAAAAGCCACCGCATGTCTCTCAACACACCAATGAGTGAGGATATTGGTCAAATGTTTAAATCTCATGCAAACTGGAGATCTGCCCCTATTACATCAGTAGTCGGTACAGGTGCAAATCCCTGCTGAGGACATTAAAACCCACAATTTGCACTGAAGTTTATCCCTGCTTGAAATCAGCGAATCCAGTGGTAACAACAGGAAATTTTTCAAAGATCTCCCCTGTGTAGACAAGAAGTCAGTGTTTTTCCCCAAAAATATTAAGACTGGTATTTGCAAAGTCATCAGGGCATTTGGCACTCAATTCCCATTAACTTTAATAGGAACTGGATGTCCAAATAGCTCAGGTGGCTTTGAAAATAGCCTACACTGATTTAAGATCATATTCCTGGGATGTCACTCAAAATGACCACCAAACCAGTTGCATGGTGGAGGTGCAGGCAAATGCAGTCTCCTTCTGAGTTAGGGTTGGGTATTTTAGCTAAAGGGAGCCACCTGCTGCTCAAATTCCTTGGCATAGACAATATTTCAGAGATACACAGAACTTGGAAACAATCTTCTACAAATGGATACCTTTTTGGAAAACATGCTTTAGTCAAACATAAGTTATGGGTCTCAATACAGGGTAACTGGGTGAAATTATCTAGCCTGTGACATGCAGGAGGTCAGACTAGATGATCTAATGGTCCTTCCTGGCCTTAAAATTTATGAATCTTGGGAGAAGGAGCAATCTTGGAAACACTGTCCAGTTGGATATTAAGTTTGGCCTACAGTTGTTTACTGGAGTTCTGAAAGCTTTGTCATACATATGTGATTTGGACTTTGCTTTTCCCATCTAATATCCATATTCAAGAATGTACTTACATGTCAATAGATTAGACTCAGAACACAGAATCCCCTTCTCAGTCTAATCTCCCCTAACCATTTGGAAGCTGGGACCATATTTTCTTCTCCTTGGACAATCTCTGATTCCCACCATGCTGCTAGCATCAGTGTCCCATGAGACAAATGAAAGTGACAGCATTCTGTGTATTAACCAAACACTCCAGCAGAAAAATTGTCTGGGGCCAATTCTCAACTGGTATAAACTGTCACAGCTCCTTTGAGGTCAATGAGATACAACAAATTACACCAGCTGAGACCCACCCCTCTGTGATTATCAGATGGAGAAGCACAACAAACACAAGAGCTTGTGTTGTTTCCCCTCCATTTACCTGGAGAGTTCTGAGGTGAGGAACAGGGCGAACAGCGAGGAGAGAAGCTGTAGCCAGGGTGGAAGGCAGCCTGCAAGGGTATGTAAGACATAATATCCTCTTCAAAGAGGCTGCAAGGAAAAATGATAGAGACAGGCCCTGTTTACTCTCATTACACAGGAAGAAGCACAAGAATTCGGTACAGCAGAATTCTATTATAAGGATCTGTTTGGGCAGCCCTTCATTTGATCATGACTTACAACATAATAATCAGTACCTACAGATGCATAAAACAGTGATCTTCCCAACCAGGCATGGTCTCAAGAAGCAAAGACTTCATTTTAGCATAACAAAGTGAGTTCCATTAGGCATTTTCATGCCAAGACAGTGCCAGATCGGATGGATGAGCCAAGGTTTGAGGCAATGGTAAAAGTAGCAACATCCAGTGGTCAAAAGCAAGAACAGGGGATACATATTGATACACAAATTGTTTCCCTTTTGATTACGATTTGTCTTGGTCATATATTTTGCTATAGCCACTGCATGGCGCTCTGACCATCTGCATCAAGGTATAGGTAGTGGGAGCAAGTCATATACTTCTTGCATTAGATAGAGTGGGCTATGTAACTCCAATCAAAAGCAAGTTGGGTGGCATGTGTTTTAGTGTAAACACAGGCCAATAGAGAAATTTAATCCTTCATTGTGTTGAGCCATGTAAATTAAATTATCCTAGGCTCTAAAGCGCTAATTTAATTGGCGCTCCAAAAGATGCTAAGACCCTGCCTACATTACTAAGGCGTTGCCTCCAATACATGTTCACTCCACTGTAGCTCAGCTCAGCTCTTCCTTAATGTGAAATAGCCTCCTGGATAGCACTGCCAGTGGCATAACTGACATTCCTATAATCTGCATCTGACTGTTTTTCAGAGAGGTGTGAACCACATTTCTGCATTTCAAAATGCCACAGGAAAATTTAAAATGTCATTTCTAATCTGATCCTTAAAGCCAAAGCCTTACCGTTCAGTGCAATCAGAGGGTAAAGTTCATTGTGCCAGTGGGGACTAGTTTCTGGAAAGTATGATTTGACACATATATTGTGGTTGAATTATTATGAAAACCAACTGGCTATCAGGACAAATGAATCCCTGTGTAATCATGATAGGGCCCTAGCAGAGATCAGCCTAGATTTAATAAATTCTGTCAATCACCTAAAATATGTCAAAAAAACATAGGGTGGAGACAGCTAACCAGCTTCTTGTGTACCATGAGTGACAAAGTTCTGGTTTTGTTCCAATTGATTACCTCAGTAGAATTACTAAATCTGCATCACAGGACAACTTTTCAAGCCCATGTGTACCCTCTGTCCGAATGTAATGGATCTTCTCCCTGGAAAATTAATGACAAAAGGGGGGAAAGAAATCTCATTATTGTCAAACCATAAGATAGGGATGGATTATTTTTTCCTCGCTGCTTCTTTAGTTCCTTTTTGCTCTTCTCAAAAAGATAGCAAATAGAAATCCCTATTGCCTGAAAACATTTTTCAAATCTGAACAACCAAACCTATAAAACAACATTCTTTAAATCATACCAGCAGTCTGTCCCCAAAGCAGGAGTCACATTTTAGAGAGCAAGATGATTTCCTTATCCCTAGAGCTTATGTGTAACACTGCAGTTGACATCATTGACAGATGAAAGTTCGCCTCTGTGGAGGCTATACCTAATATACAACATTTTCTTAACAGAGTTGTATATACGCCCTATACTTTACATGTTTCAGTCCCAGGTTGGCCTCATTCATGCCTTTCCAATTTCTATAATAAAACTTGTAGGACAATTATTTATTTTAAAATTAAAATAATTGCTACATATGAATTTACTGTTCATTAAAGTTGCTTGATTGACAGCCCTGGGGACTCAAGTCCTATCTAGAAACCAAATGAGCCTGGCTCTGATCTTACTGACACTGTTATAAATAAAGAATAATTCTATGGAACTCAATCAATGTAAAACTGCTGTGTGTAAGATCAGAATCAGACCCAATGAGCATGGCAGCAGTATTGTAACCATCAAATGGGCCTACCAGTGTGCCTCTGGAAAAAGGGGTAAACAGTGAGGTGGCAAAATTTGCAGATGATACAAAACTACTCAAGATAGCTAAGTCCCAAGCAGACTAAGAAGAGCTACAAAAGGATCTCTCAAAACTGGGTGACTGGGCAACAAAAAGGCAGATGAAATTCACTGTTGATAAATGCAAAGTAATGCACATTGGAAAACATAATCCCAACTACACGTATAAAATGATGGGATCTAAATTAGCTGTTACCATTCAAGAAAGAGATCATTGTGGATAGTTCTGTGAAAATATCCACTTAATGTGCAGCGGCAGTCAAAAAAGCGAACAGAATGTTGGGAATCATTAAGAAAGGGATAGATAATAAGACAGAAAATATCATATTGCCTCTATATAAATCTATGGTACACCCACATCTTGAATACTATGTGCAAATGTGGTCGCCCCATCTCAAAAAAGATATATTGGAATTGGAAAAGGTTCAGAAAAGGGCAACAAAAATGATTAGGTGTATGGAATGGCTGCCATATGAGGAGAGATTAATAAGACTGGAACTTTTCATCTTGGAAAAGAGATGACTAATGGAGGACATGATAGAGGTCTATAAAATCATGACTGGTGTGGAGAAAGTAAATAAGGAAGTGTTATTTACTCCTTCTCATAACACGAGAATTAGGGGTCACTAAATGAAATTAATAGGCAGCAGGTCTAAAACAAACCAAAGGAAGTATTTTTTCACAGAACGCACAGTCAACCTGTGGAACTCCTTGCCAGAGGATGTTGTGAAGGCCAAGACTATAACAGGGTTAAAAAAGAACTAGATAAATTCATGGAGGATAGGTCCATCAATGGCTATGAACCAGGATGGGCAGGGATGGTGTCCCTATCCTGTTTGCCGGAAGCTGGGAATGGGCGACAGGGGATGGATCACTTGATGATTACCTGTTCTGTTCATTCCCTCTGGGGCACCTGGCATTGGCCACTGTTGGAAGACAGGATACTGGGCTAGATGGACCTTTGATCTGACCCGTATGGCCGTTCTTATGTTTCAATGTAAATATAAAAGGACTACTTCAAGGAGAAAAAGAATAAATCATTCTTCATGACCAATTAATCCCCGGGGTCTCTGCTGGGAATACAAACTTGTGTGTAAATTAGTGCCAATAGGGGTGGTTGTTTGGGGCTCAGTCCTGAAATATGAAAAGCATTCTGTCACTGATCAAGCAATCTTTAAGCATGTGAGTGGTCCAGTGGGACATCATTCATTCCAATATTAAGTCAAATGGGACTACTCGTGCCTACAGCTAAACATGTGTTTGAATGCTTTGGCGCATTGGGGCCAGAATGCTAGGTGCCTTGCAGATCAAGCTCAGTCTGAAATGAACACTTGTCTGCTGGGAACCTGTCTAAGATCACCAAGCCCATTCCACAAAAGTTGGTGAACGGCCATCTGATAGTAGCTTTGGGTCACTACTGACCTAAGGTGGAAACAAAGCAGTGACCTAGAGGTGAAAGGCTCAATATCCTGTTACAAATTTCATTACATATCCGCAAAGCTGTCTAGTCCCCATCATTAGTCAATGTTGTTCTCTGCTGAAAAAGAGATAAAAGCGTTTCCTGTTCTCTAAGGGATAAGAACTCAAATTACAGAAGTGAAAAAAGTCTAGAATAATTTGATGGCGATGATAAAAATTCTCAATTACAAAAATGTACATCTTAAACAATGGAGGCATTTTTCATTCTCTCCCTCAATCTATTAGCATTACATTCTTCCTGGAGGCAGCTCTAATCCTTTACACCCAAAGAACTCTTTGTCTGATCTTCATAGGTAAATGATTAGTCATCAAGGCCAGCAAAACTCCCAGAGAGAAATCTCACCGGGAAAACGTGGATGTTCTGTTTTGTTACGCTGGTTACAGTGTGGCATTTATTGAATCCTTGGGCCAGATCCTCAACTAGTATAAATTGGCATCACTCCATAAAAGCCAATGGATAGAAGCTGATTTACACCAAATGAGGATCTAGCACCAAAAGATGATCATTCTGTTTCTTTTTTCTTTTTCATTTCACCCCTTTCATATAAGATGAAAGGAACAGGTGAAATACCTTGATGGCATCAAATGGTTTCATTACTTTGGAAAGAATTTTAAACACATTATTAAGTCCTCAGAGAAAAGAAGTGAAGACGGGAGTGCAATTTAGTAAATAATGTTCCTATGTTTCTGTAAAATATAGGGCTTCTCTAGCCATGGCACTACTGTTAGAGTTAAGAGTGAAATTCTGGTGCCATTGAAGTCAATGGGAATTTTGCCATTGTCTTCAATGGAGCCAGGATTTCACCCAAGACCTCTGAAGAATAAGATGGTAATTGTAAGCAAAGATATCTGATCTATAGAGTTTTTGCCATTGAGGCATAAATATAGTGGCCATTGGGTTGTCAATGTGTGCTCACAGATACCACAGTTCTTCCCTATACTTGGGTACCTGTGGAAAATAACTATAATTATATGGACTCCATTAGCAAATGCTGACTCTTCAGTGGTGACCACTGTAACTCAGGCATCTCTTCATTTTTTACATCCTGCTAACAAGGATTTGACTCTTCTTCTAGAGAAAATATATCTGAAATGTAGAACATGAAACAAGGAGGCCAACAGGTGAACTATAAAAAGAGAACAAGGAAAAAAGGGAATTAGAGGGTAGAGAAAACACTCTTCTGTTTCTTTAGAGAAGCACAAAGAATGACGTGATGAATATGAACATGAAAAAGTTTTGCAATTGTTTTGTGTTTTTAATGAATAAAGCACCCACAAAATTACAAATATATCCAATGATTGTTAAAGTACAAATTATGGCTCCCCAATGCATAACTGTGCTTCCCTTCTTAGTGCCCCCATCCAGGAGTAACCCCATTCTCTATGAGTTCTCAAAGACAATTGCTAATGGTTCCAAGATTACTTCAGTTACTTCCTTAAGAATCCTACAGGGAACTTCATCCAGCCCTGGCTTGAATACACCTAACTTATCTAAATATTCTTTTAACTATTCTTTCCCTATCATGGCTTGCTTCTTTCTCCCTTGTTGTTAATATTAATTGTGTTGAGTATCTGGTAAAAAAATAACTCATTTTGTAAAGACTGAAGCAAAGAGGCACTAAATGCCTTTTTGGTGCTGCCCATTCTCTAGCTCATTTAAGTTCATTCTTAGATGCTAAATGTATCTTTTGGTGTGCCGAGGTAGTATATGGCCAAGATCTTCCTGGGCACTTCACAGTTGGTGGATTATGGTTCTATATCCAGAATAACGGTCCATGAAAGGTTTATTACCTCAGAATTTCTCCAGCCTTCACTTTGTCCACCTGATCTCTATCCTGAATAAGAAGGGGTCACTCCACCCTAAGATGGATGCTGCAGACCCTGAGCATGCTGAATATTGAGAGAGGGTGAAAGTTCAGTTAATTGGAAAGAGCCAAGGAGAGCTAAGATGGCATCCTGGCAAAGAGCCAAGCAGGTGAGGCGGTCGGCAGAATCATAACTCTGAAGGAAACAGCAACAGTGAACATGTGGAGAGTAAAAGAGATGGGAGAAAGGTCAAGCAGACCCCGCCTGAACTAACTTGGGCCAGTTTGGGGATGTTTCTTCTGGTAGCTGAAGATGAGGTAATGTGTGTTAGAACAATACAAAAAAAGCTGTGCTGGCAGGCAGTTAGTCAGTCAGGAGCTGGTGAGGAAGGCAGTAATCGGGAGAAGTTGGATGAAGAGATTGGAAATCAAGGAGAAGAGCTACTGCAAGACAGCTTAGAGTTCTGAGGAGAGCTCTGATGAAGAAAAGCACTTACAAGAGCAAAAACAGCAGCTTCAGCAGCAGCCACAATATCAGCAACATTAAAACAAAATAACTAATGCACAAAGGACAGAGAAGCTGCTGGGAGTGAGCTGTGAACAGAGGAAGGGAGCTGTGACACTGCACCACAGATTCTTCATAGTTGTATGATTGTGATACGATTATAACATAATTGTGATGTATCTGGTAAAAGATATGTCTTGTGAAGTGACATTGGAAAAGTTATGACTTGCTTAATACGATTATCCTATTTGAGTGCATGTATCATTTTTGTATCTGAAGTTATGAATATTGATCATGTATCTGTATTTCGAATGTAGTTACACCTGGGTGACACCCACTAGGCAAAATGCTTCCAGTCTAGACAGCTGGTTGTGAAGGGCCTATTCAGGGAAATGGGCCATTAGGGGAAACAACAGGCCTTAGGAGAAGCTTATCCCCCACCTGGTGAGCCTTCCTGGGAATGTTTCAGCCACCCTGTAAGTAATAGCTGCTATGACTCAGCAAGGCAAGCAAGGGCATGTGACCAGACCACATAACACTGAACTCCATTTTGGTACCTGTATTTTTCCACAAACTGGACTGGGAACTGAGTTTGGAACAAAGGGTTCCCGACATATGGAAAAGCAATATAAGGCAGGGAGTGACTTCATCTCAGGGCCTCTCTCTCCCCACCCAAGAGAACTCCTGGAAACACCTGAGGAACAAAGACTGAACTGGGGGAAGTGCTGGTCCCAGACTAAAAGGATTTCTAGCCTGTGTATGGACTTGGTGGAAACTCAGTCAGGGTGAGAAATTGCTAATTCAAATCCTAACTAGTATATTAGGGTAGTTTGTGTTTTTGTTTATTTGGTAGGTAATCTGCTTTGATCTGTTTGCTATCACTTAACATCTATCTTTCTGTAGTTAATAAACTTGTTTTATGCTTTATCTTAACCAGTGTATTTTGAGTGAAGTGTCGGGGGGAAAATCTCAGCTTGGTTAACACTAGCTTCTTGTGCATATCTTTCCCACATTGAGGGGAAGGCAAACTATATTAACGAGCTTACATTGTACAGATCCCTGAGCAGTGTAAAACGTTATAATTGTGGGTTTATACTCCAGCAGGGGTGCAAAGTGGGGGAGCTGGGAAATTGGCTGTATGTTCTTGAGTGGCTTAGGTAAAGCACTCAGGTAACTCAGTTGGGCGTGTGGTGCCACCTGCTGTCGTGTTGGGTGATAACAGGGTCTGGTGAGGCTGGCTGAATCTCCAACAAAGCAGTGTGAAAGAGGCCTGCCCAGCTGCAGGAGTTAGAGCCCACAGAGGTTCCCACAGCTCCCAGACTGCACCCTGGGGGTGACAACCCATCACAGGAGTTGACTGAGAATAAACTGCAACAGTAGCAGAGCTGAGCAGCAATAGTGACTAAAGAAGAATACCAAAGAATTTATAAAGTAAGCCTGCCAGTTTTTAAATATAATTTTTAGTGTTTGTAGTCTAGCATAGTATTACGTGTATGCATGAAATGTGTGTGTTTTAATTGTATTTTACTTATGTAAAACTTAAAGTATAATTTAAAACCTGTGGTCAGAGATTTGTTACAAACTGGCCATTTGTAGCAAAGCACTTCTCTTAGAATCATTTAAACTATATGCTATTGTGGTTTGAATGTTTTTTTAATTTGCAATAAGGGACTGCCTCTTATTTAGAATTTGTAGATTACACTGTATTAGGGATTTTTAGTTACTTTAATAAAAAGACACTTTGTTTTGGAAGATATACTGCCTGTGTCAATCACTCTATCGGAAGGTTATAGCCGTGTCCTTTAGTGTTTCCTTAACAACCCCAGAAATTCATACCTCGTGAAGAACAGACTATGGGGCCGATAGGCAGATTATTATAGGGATATCCCAAAATACATTGTTTGGGGTAACAGGTTCACCTCAGGGCTGGGGACTCCTGCAGGCTCTAGGACCCTGTGAGATCGAAGGATCCCAGACCTCAGGCTACAGCCCAAGACAAGAAATCTATACTGCAGTGAAACAGCCACACAGCCTGAGCCCCGCAAGCCCAAGTCAACTGGCATGGGCCAGCCATGGGTTTTTAACTGCAATCTACACATACCCTTAGAGGATCCCATATTGACTTTGGAGATGTGATTCATGCAAAGGGGGAGTGGCTGGACTGCCCTGTGTCCCACTGATCCCTGGGTGCTGTTCTGGGCTCCTGAGGGCCACTATCAGCTGCTGTCTGATATGTTGGTAGTTTATGACGGGGACCATCATAGTAAGAGCAGGTTCAAGATTGGGGCAATGCTGAGCTGCACTGTACACTCCTCATCCATAGTGAAGGACCTGGGTCTACATATTTATACTGTGCACAGAAAAGGTGAAATTTTCGAAGCCCCTAAGTGACTTTGGAGCCTAGGTCCCACTGACTTCCCCACTGACCTTTTGTTCTCATTGTTATATATTAATGACAAAACACAGAGTTATTTGACAGTTGATTTTATAAGCATTATGGGGTCAATCCTGCTCCCCCCCTTCTCCTCTGCTGTTGGTTAGAATTGAATATGAGAAGCCCATGCAAAGGAATCAACACTCCAACATAGCTCCTTGGATGTCCCTGTAGCAGAGTTTGAATGGTAGGACCAGGTAAGGCCAGAGGAGAAGTGGGAGTGAGGCCAGTGGATCCACTGCTGTACAGAGCTACAGCCAGTGCCCTTACAGAGCATGTGGTGCAGAAGCATCAGCAGCATGAATTGCTACTTCCTGGCTGCAGCAATGGCCATGGAGTGGTATAAGGAGAGGATTTCTTTCTTTCCAGGCCCCATGGAACACCCTGTCTGCTGGCTCCAAAGCCAGCAGGGGACAGGATTAGAGACTGTTCATAGTAACTTGGAACAGATCAATACCTGAGTGCATGGTTCCTGGCCAAGCTTGGCTGACGCTCCTGCAGCATCTCAAAAATGTTTGGTTGGCGTAGAAATGCAACAATCTTGTCATTGTAAGCTGGAATAGATAAAGACCACAGAGGCTTTTCTTTACTCTAGCAGCAAGTGACACTTTTGGAGATGATGACAACTGTGCTACTGAAAATTACTTGTTAAATCGTGATAATACAGCATACAGAATAAAGCACACAGTAATACAATGTGATCACCATCGATATAATTTTCCCTGTCTCCTCATTAAGGAAGAGTTGATAGAGAGCTAGATAAGGGATATGATAGTTGAATGTTCCCAAGGAGCCCCTCTAGAAAGAAAAAATAGAAGGCCCTACTTACCCAGAGGTAATGTCTCATGATGGTGCTGGTTTCGAATAGCTGTTACTAGGCTGTTGCCTGGTCTGGTCAACAGAGAAACGCCTCTATTCCGGGAGACTTCCGATGCCTAGAATGAAAGAAGGAAAGAAAAAATGTTGTAACTAGACTTTAAGCTACAACTTTTATTATGTCTTTTTACTTCTGTGACTTTAATCCAGAGTCATGAGATTGACTGATTCAGTTTAGGGAACAATTTTTTATTTTGTTTACTGTTATTGGACAGAGTTTTCAACATCATATTCTAAAGCTGTGATATATGCTGCATAGTCCCAGTCTAGAGAAATTACACATGGAATCAACAACATGCATATTAACACCATAGAAATAATGTAAGCACAAGTTTTCATGAAAAAGGAACGGCTTTGCACTCTGATGGTCAAATTTTTGTTCAGCTTCAAAGAGGCACATAATTCTGGGTTTGCAAATGGATGCACACTATGTCCTTGTCTATACTATACAATTTTGCCTCTTTAGCTATGCCAGCATACTTGGAGCAGCAATTCCTCCCTTCCCCGTTGTTGATGCAGTTATACTGGTAAATATGTGCTCATAGAGGTGTGTAACTTATTCCAGTCCGACAAAGCAATATAAACTACCAGTGCCTCATAAAGTGCCTTATATCGGTATAACTGCATCTTTTGTAGGCATAACAGTATTAGTAAAAAGTCACATCCCTAATTAACCTCGTCATGCAAATCAAATTTTTAAGTGTAGACCAGGCCTTTGCATTCAATTATTATATTTGCATATGCAAATACCACATACATGTAGAAACAGGTGTTTGTGCAATTTTTTGAGTAAAAAAATTAAGGACACTTTTCTTTAATTTGGTTCTAAAATATTCATTTGGCATACTGGGGTGGAAATTATTGTTGTAATAACATGAGGAAAAGACATATCAGAACAGAAAGGGGTAATATTCTCCCAGAAGTGAATGTGAGTAACTTACATGAATATATGTAAGAGGAATGCGTATGCACTGCTTCTGTTTATCCAAAGTGTGGATAAACAGAAGCAGTATGTGTCCAACACTGTCCCTGGTTTGGGCCTTGTCTACATCAGGAAAATGACCCACTGTTGACAGTGATTGTCAGCTATGCTTTGCCCTGGATTTTTTCCAACTGTTGAAAAAAGCTGCCAGCATAGACAAGCTGATAACAAACACTGCCATCAAAAGCATGACTGAGGACATATTTCACAAAATTTCAATCATATTTTCTGCAGTGGTGTTGAAAATGGCTTTGGTTTGTCCATACTGGCAGCCAAACAGTTTCCAACACCAGTTTGAAAGGTATGAGGGGAGGAGGAGCCATTCCCTTCTCTGCCACAGACTTCCTGTATGACCTTGGGCAAGTCACCTACGGCCAAGTATACAAAGGTATTTAGGTTGCTAAAGATGCAGATAGATGCCTACTGGGATTTAAAAGAAAGCACCTAGACAAGTTAGGCACTGAACTCCCACTGACTTCAATGGGAGTGAAGTGCCTAACCTGCTTAGGTTCTTTTGTAAATTCCATTAGACACCTATCTGCACTTTTAGGAGCATAAACACCTTTGTAAATCTGGTTCTTACGGTTTGTCTACACAAGGACACTCACGAAAATTAATCCAAATTAATTAAAGGTGTGAATTTAAACTGCACTAAAGCCCTGTATGAACACCCTTATTCAGAATTAAAGTGGTCTTAATTTGGCTTATTTTAATTCACTTCTAATGTAAACCAAATTAAGGCTACTTTAATTCTGAATTAAAGTACTAATATAGGGGTTTAATGCAATTTAACTAATCCACTTTAAATTCACATTGTTAGTTAATTTGGATTAATTTTTGAGTGTTCCTGTGTAGACAAGCCCTCAGTCTCTCTGCATCTCAGTTCCCCATCTGTAAAATAGGAATAATAGTACTTCTGTACATCACAGGGATGTTGTGAGGATAAATATATTAAGATTTGGGGGAGGTGCTCAGATAGTGAAGATAACATAAGTATTGACAGATTACTGACAAATATTAGAGGAGATAGGGCTTACACCCTGACCAAATGTGTAAACCTCTGCCATAAAAAATAATAAAAAAAGAGAGAAAATAGAATGGAGCCTGAATCGTCTCTCACTTACATGTGTGTTAATCCAAAGTAACTCTATACTGAAGCTTACATTGATAACAAATCAATGTGAGAGAAATCAGAATCAGGCCAAAGATGCATGAAAACACCAATTCCCAAAATGCTGAGGTGATAGTTGCTTATTTAATATTCAACAAATTGTAGTGCATGGCAATAACTTCAGAAAGAAATTGCCCATATTCCAGTATTTTAGATTCTTAGCTTTGAATCCAAGCTCTGGACAATGCCAATCAGATTTCAGTATTACTGCCAAATATCAGGTCTTCCAAGTGGCTATATATGAAAACAGAGCAGCTAAATGTGACTAATAAGTCACATATAAAACATAGGTAATGAGCATTAGACAATATGAATGTTAAACAAGAAAAAAACCTTGGCACTAATTCAACACACTAATTAAATGTATTGTAATTGAAAACACAACACTGCTGCTACAGCATATTGTACATTTTTTTCACCATAAGAAACTGCCTGCTTTTGATCTCACTTACACCAGTTTTACATGGATCCATGCTACTCATTTCAGTGGAGTTACTCTCAATTTACCCCAGAGTCGGCGAGAAGAGGATCAGGCCCAAAGTGTTTAATGTACTGGTGTGATAATCTTGGCAAAATTACTCTTGTTTTTAAAGACAAGTTTATTACTTAGCGCTCCAGGAAGTCATCTAGGGTGTAATTACATTAAGTAACAACTAATCTTGTGGGGATTGTTGCTATTTTAAACATTTATTGGGTCAATGATTTTGGAAAGCTGCATAGGGGTAATGAAAAGTTTGGCTGTAAGAATGGTCACCTCTCATCATAAACAACTTTATCTAACCCTACAGTTGTTTTGAAGACACAGGGAGATGCAATGTACTATTTCTGCCTTCATTGTCCCGTTCCTCAGGAGCTAACAAGTTTTGTTAAGGTTATTTTCATGCATTTACAGGACAATTTCCTTCCTTTGTGCCCATGCTTTGCTAACTCTTCTTCCTAGTCCCTTAAATAAATGGAGATATCCTATCTCCTAGAACTGGAAGGGACCTTGAAAGGTCATCCAGTCCAGCCCCCTGCCTTCACTAGCAGGACCAAGTACTGATTTTGCCCCACATCCCTAAGTGGCCCCCTCAAGGATTGAACTCACAACCCTGGGTTTAGCAGGGCAATGCTCAAACCACTGAGCTATCCCTCCCCCCTTTGCCTCCTTCTCCCTCTCACGCCTCACCACCATGTCTTCTCCTCACCAGCCTGTGCCTGTAACAGCCTTACTGAGCCAGTCCTTGTCTTGATATCCCCTCTCATAATTCACTTCCTCTTATTAGCTTTCTACTGCTTTGCTCCAGCCCACGTACCTGATCCTATTCTCCCAAACCAGAAAGAGATGAAGGGGATGTACATGTGGGTGGGGAGGAATGGAAAAAATGACTTAAAAGGAAACAAAACACTGTAGAGAAAACTAGTACAAGACAAATAAAATTAAGAATCAGAACTAACCAGATACACATGGAACCTTACAAAATAAATCCAATTGTGTAAGTTGTACTCCTCTTCTTCTCCCATTGTTATCACTTAGCCATCACTGGTTGGGCTTTGCCATGTTTGGGCCTTGACATTACACTTACACATTATGCAGTTTTACTCTCACAAGTCGTCCCATTTGATCTGTAGCTATGACTAGATAGCAGAAAAATTCGAAGTAATCTAATTAGCTTTCCTCTTCTCTTTTCTCTATTCTTCCTCTTTCTGTCTTTAGCCATATATAGGACAATTAATAGCTCCAATTAATCATTTAATTACAATAGTGTTGTCTGTCCTGACTTTCTAATTGAATCAATTAACTCAGATTATCAGATTATTTTCCAGTGTTTTAAAAAGTGACAGTGCTAATGATTTAGCATCCTGACTCATCTAGTGCTGGACAATTTGACTGATTTATACACCTTAAACAGCCTTGCGTTTCCCCTTGTAGATTACAACCAGATAGCTGAGAACTCTTTCAGTGCCCAAATCCACCATAGCAGCTTCTCTTCTTTCTTCTTTGGACTCTGCATTTGTGCTATATTGCAGTCATCGCTAGAAATGTGCATCTGCTGCCCATTTGAGTTCTGCCATCTGTCCATCGCTGTTTGAGGTGGTGAGCATGCAAAATCCATCTACTCCCTCTGGTACCTCTCCACCATGGGTGGCCACTGGTTTCGGCTCAAATTCCTACCTGTTGTTTTTAAGTTAAATTTATAAGCTCAACATACAATGGCAGTGGCCATTCCAGAAGGGAAGCTAACTGGAAAGAATGGTGACACTTCACCATTGCTACTGATCTGTTTTGATTTCTGGAGGTGTAGCAGGATTCTAGGCATAGACTGTCCGCTAGTCTTTAGCTGTTGACTTCAATAGAACACCACCAATTTACACTAGCTAAGTATCTGGCCTATAAAGTTTTTTAAAGGTAGCTGGGATTAGCCTTGACCTTTTTGCTCTGCAGAAAGGGGCAAATGGATGCCCTTGCGCCCAAAATTGTAGAAGTTTTACAGGATAATCTACATAATGCTACTGACGATCAAGAAGCTTAAAAATGGACATCAAAAGCCTTTACAAAGGTCTTTAATTTAGGAAGATACTTCATTGCAACAGAAAAACAGGAATATGAGTGAACAATTTTTGAGTCAATCAATTTTGTGGAGTGGAATAGGAATAGGTAGGTGTTCCAGAATATTCACAATATGTTTTTATATGAAATATGAGACACAGATTAAGGAGGAAGGTGCATTTTGGAAAGGTCTGTCTGTTGGCAGTTGTGGTATGGCTTTGTATAGAAGAGCTTAGAAACAATAGTGACCCATCAATAAAAGCTGTATAATTATTATCTCTAAGTTTTCCAGAGAATGCTATTTACATATGAAGGTGCAGAAAGCTGACTTAATCGGGAAGTCGTATTTGTATGTTCCATTCTCAAAATGGAGGCTTAACTTAGAAGTACATTTGAGATGCTAAAATGTGAGGTTTTGATTCAAGGGCAACTATATTGAACCTTGCAGGCTTTTAACCCTTTTACTGCAGGCATTTTCTCCAGCTCACGAATAATTTTTGTGGCTCTTTACTGCACCATTTCTAGTTTTTCAAAATCCTTTTAAAAATGTGGACACCTGAACTGTACACTAGTATCTGTCTCAGCAGTGTCAAATATAGATGTAAAATCACCTCCCCACTCCTACTCACTACTCCCCTGCTTATACATCAAAGGATTAATTTAGCCCTTTTTGCCAAAGCATCGCACTGGAGTTCACGTTCAGTTGCTTTTCCACTATCACCCTAAATCATTTTTCATAGTCACTGTTTTTTTAGATACAGCCCCCCATTCTCTAGGTATAGCCTGCACTCCTTGTTCCTAGATGTATAACTTTCCATTTGGCTGCATTAAAATGCATTTTGCTTGAAAGGGCCCAGCTTGCTATGTGATCCTGATCGTTCTGTAGGACTACTCAGTCCTCATCACTCTATACCACTCCGTCAATCTTTGTGTTATCCACATATTTTATCAGCGGTGATTTTATATTTACTTCCACATCACTGATGAAAATGTTGAACAGCGTGGGCCTAGTACTGATCCCCAAGGAGCCCCATTAGAACATCCTTCCCCCATTCAATGATGATTCCCCATGGACAACTACTTTTTGAGATCTGTCATTGTTAGCCAGGTCTTAAACCATGTTATGTGTGCTTTATTGATATTGTATAGCGCTATTTTTTAAATCAGAATGTTGTGTGGTACGAAGTCAAATGCCTTACAAAATTCTAAGTATATCACCTCTATGCAGTTACATTTATCAAACATCTAATCACATCAAAGAATGAAATCAGAACTGTTTGACAAGACCTATTTTCCATAAAGCCATGCTGACTGACATTAATTATATCCCTATCCTTTACTCTCAGTGCAAAGACCATAATTGCCCTTCATTAAGTTGAGGAGGAGGATGAGAAACAGTTGATTTATTTAATTGATGCTGACAGATCTTTAAAATCTCCAGTTTGCTTCTCTCCTGCTGTTTAGAGGGTTCTCCTTGCTGCTCAGCAGAGGAGCCAGCAGAACTTCAAGCAGCTGGCAAGTGGCCAGGGGGAAGCGTGTTTTGACATGTTGTTCTTCTCTCTGAAACCTAAGTGAGTCTCTGGGATTTCCCTATGGGCATGATTTATAGGACAAAAACATATCCCATTCATATTAACAACAGCTATCACGGTATGAAACCTTTTGCTCTTGGTAAATTTGTTTTGGCGCTAGAGTCTTCTGCTCTGTAAAGAGTGGGCTTTTAGAGCCGGATCCAAAGCCCACAAAAGCCAATGGGAGTCTTTGCATTGGGCATCAGACCCCAGGAATAGTTTGCAATTTCCTCAAATGTATTAATTATTCAACAGTATTCTCATTATTTAACAGTATTAGACTGTTTCATCTGGGTTTTTTTCCCTCGGTCTCTTTCTCTTAAACATTTTGGATTTATAGTGGATAGTTCTCTGCCAGTCCTTGATATATGAGCTGCACGTGTCTGTGAGGTTTGGCAAGTAAGTTACATGCAATTGTTTCTGTTTCCTGGTTGGATGAATGTGGAAGCACTTTCAATGCAAATGCTTCCACTAGCATGCATTACTGTGTGCACAACTTTCAGATTTGCTTTTTGTGAACCAGGCATGGCAGCAAAACTCAATTATAGATGGAAGGTGGGTGAGGGAATATCTTTTATTGGACCATCTTCTGCTGGGGAAAGAGACAAGCTTTCGAGTGACAGAGACCTCTTCTTCAGGTCAGGTTTTCTTCAGCTCTGTGTTGCTCAAAAGCTTGTCTTATTCACCAGAAGAAGTTGGTTCAATAAAAGATATTATCCCACCCACTTTGTCTCTCTAATATCCTGGCACCAACATGGCTAAACAACAACACTGCAAACAGCAAAATTCAGTGCTATGGTGTTGGCAGAAATTGATCACTAAGTCAGGGTAGTAGGCATGACAGAAGCAAATTCATTGACAAATTTATGTGAACATTTGGGAAAAAAATGTTGCCTTATTCACCCATGATGGGAAAATCCACACAACCCTCCAGTGCTCTCTCTCCCCTACCAGTACTGATACCTCAGGAGCAGTGCTGTTATTGCCTCCAATCCCATCCACTGGCCCAAAACAGCCTCTCCAAGGGGGCTGGATGACACAGCATGATCCTGCTGGAGTTAACATTGATAGGGTCAATATTAACTCCCCTAGGAATTTTTCTGCTGGTTTTCTGGGAGAGGATGATGAATACAACAGCTGTTCCCTTGGCTGGGACCCACTCCCAGCTTGTTCCCCCGTCTTCCCCTGAAATCATAAAAAGCCTCTACCATGTGCAGTTCTGCAGGTGGGAGAGAAATGCTGCTGCTTTAGCATCCTGGCCTCCACTATCATTTGGGCCTGGAGTGGGATTTATGCTCCCGTCATCCCCCCCACACTGTGCAGTGGGGAATGTTATCTCCATGCAACAGATAAAAGATTATTTGAAATGATTTCAGTATCATAAAGCCTATTGTCTGTAATCTAGCAGCATGGAAACACACCTCAGCATACATTACTACACAAGCTAGGGACACTATCTTATCAGATACTAGTGTCACAGTGAGTTGCTGAACTGTCGGGCCATAATTGTATTGGATGCCTTGATTTTATTAAACCCTGGCCGGAACCTCAAACACTGCGTCTTCCTTCAAAATCTATTTCCATTGTCTTATCAGTTTGGTTGATTTGTATTAGAGAAGGTCAAATGTCTACAACCTGCTATTGACAGGCTGTTTGATGAATACTCTAGCAAGAAAGAAATATGAAGCCACTATCTTTTGAAAGATAAAAAGCCACAAAACAATCTATGAAACCCTTCAGATATAAGGGATATTTTAAAGTGTGCAAAAGACAGGTGTCAGATAGAATGGTGCTGTTATTCCTTGCATGTCTGCATTCTGTTTCACTATCCCAAATGCATCTGCTGTCCACGCTAGGGCAGCATCAGGTGATCTCAAGTTTTCTTTGCCTTTATTGTACTTCTCTTTTCCCCCAGTCTTCCTCTTGCACAGTCAAGTGTCACTTTATTTTGTGGATGTCCTACAGATACCTCAGAACACACCCAAGTTACAATGATGGATGTTACAATAAGAAGGTGTCCGAGTATAGGAGAGCAATAGATTAAGAGTGGTGAAGGGCTGTCATTAATGGTCCAGACCTTCTCCTTGTGATGGAGCTATTCCAATTTATCCCAGTGGAGGATCAGGACCAATATATGCCAGAGGGAAGTGAGCAGATTGAGCTATATACAGTAGCTGAGACGGTGGAAGCACAGGTGGGTAGGGGGATGGAAGGAAGCCATAACTGTCAGAGCAAAGAGAGCAGCTGAGACTATAGGAAGAGATGATATCATGGAGGTAGTTGGAGCATGGCCACGAAGGGCTTTGAACACATGGTGAGTGAGTCCGTAGCAGATTCAGAGGCAAAGGAGGTTTTCAGCTTGAGGGTGAAGTACTGCTGGGTATACTGGTAGAATATATAGGTGTGTTGTAGCATTCTGAACAGACTGGAATTTGGACACAAGTGACTTTGGGAGGCCATGGGAAAGGAGTTTCAATTTTCAAGGTATGAAGTGACAAATGCGTGAATGAGTGGATCAGCAGAGTCAGTATCAAGGAAGTGGCAGATACAGGGCTGATAGCATGAAGACTTGTGAGGAGAAAAGGAGAACTCAGGGTTCAGGGAGACTAAGATTAAGGAGCTGAGAGGAACAGGAGCGCCGCCAGCTTTTCTGCCGCCCTAGGCGGCGGAAGATCCCGCCCCGAAATGCCGCCCCCCACAGAGGTGGTGGAAGGTCCCGCCGCCGAAATACCGCCGTGGTCGCTGCCCCCCAAATTGTAGTGCCCTAGGCGACCACCTAGGTCGCCTAATGGGTTGCACCAGCCCTGGAGAGGAGAACAGTAAATCAGGGATGAGATTTTTCTTTAGCCAAATGGGATTACTGGGGTGAAATTCCAAACACTTTTAAGATGCATCTGCTTCTCAAAAGCTAAAAATAAGAACCATCAGGCGCCCTACCATAGTGGCTCTCAACCTTTCCACACTACTGTACCACTTTCAGGAGGCTGATTTGTCTTGTGTACCCCAAGTTTCACCTTGCTTAAAAACTACTTGCTTACAAAATCAGACATAAAAATACAGAAGTGTTACAGCACACTTGAAAAATTACTTACTTTCTCATTTTTACCACATCATTATAAAATGAATCAATTGGAATATAAATATTGTACTTACATTTCAGAGTGTACTATATAGAGCAGTATAAACAAGTCATCGTCTGTATGAAATTTTAGTGTGTACTGACTTTGCTAGTGCTTTTTATGTAGCCAGTTAGAAAACTAGATAAAGATCTAGATGAATTGATGTACCCCCTGGAAGATCTCTGCGTGCCCCCAGTTCAGAACCACTTCCCTAGTAGATATACCATATATTTAGGAAGGGGTCTTAATGCTATAGTTACCTCTCCAGCACTGTAGCTGCGAAGTCGCTGGAGATGCTGCCTGTGAGTCAGATGATTAGGGAGACGGCCATTTTGAAGTGGGATCCTGGGATCGATGAAAGTGGTAGCACGGCTGTTGTGGTCAACAAAGAAGGACTGTAATAAAAAGAATACTGTATATTCATAAGCAGGAAGCTAACATGGTGAAAGAGTTGAGGGATGAGAAAGCAGCATACACACTATTCCCTGCTCAGTTTGTATCATATGTGCCACATTTTGCAGTCATGATAGTTCACAATTTACAGCTTAATGAGTTTTAGTCCAATATTCCTTGTATTCCTACAGTAACTCGTTTCTATCATACTAATTTGCCAAATTCCTGGAAATTGATTCAAGCTGGTATCACCGTAATTTCCCTTTTGGAGCCTGTCCCTCATTTCTAGGTGCAATGCACAACTCTAGCTGTGAGCATACTGATTATGCTCTATGGGCCTGATTCTACAAGGTGCTGAGTGCCTCCTGCCAGCAAATTACCAGCAAAGTCAGTGGCTGTTGAAGGTGCTCTGTATCACACAGGACTTGACCCTTAGATTTCAGCATCACTTCTTTTTAAATGGACAACCAAGAGCTAGACACTATGGGCCTGATGACAAGAAGGGCTGAGTGCTTGCAACTTCTAATGAGCTTCAGCTCAGCCCCTCAAAACCAAGCCTTATTCTGGTAACTCCTTAGCCTTGCACCTGGAAAATTAGGGGAAAGTTCTGCCTTCATACCACACGCAACCTCATTTGTGGGTGTTTGGACTATGTTTTGGTTAATCCCATTATTGAGTCTGGAGTCACAGGGCCCATTTCTCCTCTCAGTTACAGTGGCATAAATCAGATATAACTCTTCTGACATCAGTGGAGTCACAGTGCTGAAAAACTGCTGAAAGTAAGAGCAGAATCAGGTCCATGCGGCTGAGTGGCTCTAAATCTGAACTCTTCCAAAGTATGAGGCAGAGGTATTCAGATAGAGTGTTCCTAGACAGCATTATTAAGTCAAATATTATAAATCTGAATAGTGTTTGATTAGTGGGGGTCTTTTTTTGGTGCAAGATTAACAATGCCTAGTATAGCATTATACAATCCTGGATGCTAGCATGAATCAGACCACACTTCTTAGTCTCCCTGTGTGAGGACAGAAGATAGCATAGAGAATGACATTTCCAGGGGCTAAACCTAAGACAAAGGTTTTTATTGTCAGGAATAATACTGTGTGCTCACTGATATACAAATCAGATAGTCACAAATTTTAAGTTCACAAGAAACCCTTCACGACCATCTAGCCTCGTGTGAGATGAGCAGGATGTGGAAATTCACCCAGTGATTAATTGTGTTGGCGCTCTCACCTTGCCCTGTTGATCTGTTTTGATCTCCCAACCCCGTGGAAGTTCCAGTCGGGTGTCAGCAAACATGTTGATAAAATTTACCAGGTCCCTGTTGTGCTGATAGCGCTCAAAATTCCGAGCATCTCTGCGGATCTTTAGAATCATGTGCTTCAAGCAGGTGCTGTTGGTGAAGACTCGATAGGCACTCTAGGCATGAAAAACACAGGACAAGGAAATCAGTTCCAGTGTCTCAAAAATGAGTTTGGCTAGCAGATATGACACACAATCTTAAGGCCTGATACAAATCCCACTGAAATCCACAGCAATCTTTCCATCGATTTCAATGGGCTTTGGATTAGGTTCTAAGCGAAGACGTAGAAATAACCAATTGCCACCTGGAAATTTGAAAATTCCATACCTCTATGCACAGTAGTTACCAGTACCAAACTGCCAGATATACAAGTGCAAGTGTACATATCTCTGGAGTATCACACATCTGAAATACATGCAGTTGTGTTTATTTCACTGATCACACATTCAGAGAGATGTACTGTTTGTGTGAATGTAGGGTTCAAAAAAGAACTAGATAAGTTCATGGAGGATAGGTCCATCAATGGCTATTAACCAGGATGGGCAGGGATGGTGTCCCTAGCCTCTGTTTGCCAGAAGCTGAGAATGGGTGACAGGGGATGGATCACTTGATGATGACCTGTTCTGTTCATTCCCTCTGGGGCACCTGGCATTGGCCACTGTCGGAAGACAGGATACTGGGCTAGATGGACCTTTGGTCTGACCCAGTATGGCCGTTCTTATGTTCTTATGATACCATACAGATGTGAAAACATTCATGAAAATGTATTTGTGTCACCATTCAAGAAGACATGTTCAGTACTGATTATTTGTATCTAACAGAAACATGCACAGGCCCTAATCCTGCAGTTGGGTTTGTCTGTACATATCTCACTGCAGGATCAGGGCCCCAAATGGGTCACGTTCATCGGAGATGGCACAGGGACGTGTAAATTACTTATGTAATGATGACAACTCTTTGTTTCACCCTGCAGCTCTTCACTCCAGGGAGGATGCTCCCCAAGGGAGAGCAGGCAATGTTACCTCAACCCGCCCTCTTTTAGGGGCTTCATCAGGGAGGCAGCATTAATTTCTGCTGGGGGCTCCAGTGGAAGTTACTGAAGGAATGTGCTGCCTTAGTACATCCTCAGGCTGCTTTGGCCATGCCACTCCCTGTCTATGCCACCCTCTTTTGGGGTCATACTGGCTTGCTGGAGCCCCTCACTGACTCCAATATCATTACTTCAGATGTCTGCAGATGTAAACAAGAGCAGAATCTGACCCAGTAACTTTGAATTTTCTTTCCTTCTGTGCATTTAAATGCATTTGAAATGTTATTTTTATTATTTAATATTTATATTACAGCAGTGTCCAGATGCCCAAAGCAGGATAGGGGCCTCATTGCAAACACAGAGGTAGAAATGATCTCTGCCCTGAAGATGTTACAACCTAAGAAAGTTTTCTGAATGCAACTATCTGAGGTCCTAGCATACTGCATAGCAGATGATATGTCATGAGCTGCTACAACTGACCATTTCAGTATCACTTAGCAACACTAGGGAAACCCAGAATTTCACATAGTTTTATCCCTTCAGGGACATAAAATATCTGTTAAACAAGAGTGTTTCCATTTTAGCTTTAACTGCTGGATAATATTTTCCAACTCAAATTTCACTGGCTTAATTAACACTTCTAAATTTTATTTGCAGTTTGTGAAATTTTATTTGGAGTTTGTGGTAAAAATGTTTTCATGGCCTTAAGCCTAAAGTTACGTGGTACACTATTTTTACACAAATGGAATTTGTATGACGGCCTTGACAGATGTGTTGACAGGCTATTCTGGCTCCAATATCAAAGACAGCTTTATAAACAAAATGTAGGCATTCCATGGCCTTAGTACTTTCGTGACAAAGGAAGTTGGGACTCAGCTTCTTGCGAGCTGTCCCTTGTACCAACTAAGACTTGTTTCAAGACAGCTTATAAAATCGTTAAGTTCCTTTTGAGAGAAGACCCATCAGCACTAGTAACGGATTAGCCTCAAAAGGTTCAGAAGTGATGTTTGGATATTTATCCAAATATTATCTAAACCTCTTTGGGATAGAAAACTGGGGTCGAAATCCCAGGAGAACAGGCTTTCCGAGGGAGATTTTGCAGACTTCCTGCTACTAGTTGACCTGAAATTAAAGCTTTTTCACTGCATGTCTGTTTTCATTCCCAGTTGCAAGCAGGAAGTGAAATCCCGTTCCAACAATGGGAACGAAAAGTTGTCTATACTTTTCCGAACCTTCGAGAAGTTTGGTTTGGGTTTGAGGTAGGTTCAGTTCAGTTCTTATTTTATCCAAGAGAGCTGCATCATCCCTAGTCTGTAATTGTTCACTGAGTGCTAGGTTGTGCCCAGCTGCTTGAGTGTACAAATTGCAGAGGATGCAAGAAGCCTTCCAGGTGCTGTGCAAGGCCACGAGAAGAGGGATTCAATAGAGGTTTCTGGACCCCTGAAGCAGAAGGATGCAAAAGGGGTGGGGAGGAGGCATGACCCCAGCTCCCTCTGCACCAGACAGTAGAACTGGCCAGACACATGGGGAGTAGGCTGCACCTTCTGAAAGGGAACAAGTAGTGGGGGCAGGCATGTGAGGTGCCAGGGAATTCCTCTCTGAGGCAGAATCCCCTCAAGAGTTCCCTGTGGGGTAGTGTAGGCATGCTACATCCAACCCGGTCCAGTTCACATAGAGGACAATTGAATTCTGAGTCAGGGAATTAAGGACTGGGTATGTTTACAGTGCAATGTAAACCCAGGGTTAGTGGAACTCCAGTTAGCAGACCTTGGGTTTGTTAACCTAGGGCTTGAATGTCTACACTCATTTGTAATCCCAGGTTAGGAATTGTTAAACCCTGGGTCCCAACATGGGGTTCCAGGATCTTCACTGCATTATGCGGGCCTGAGTTGAACCACTCATATTCCATACTTCCTAGCACTCTCTGAAAGTGTGGCCATTCTATCCCTTCGTTCATGGTGCAGTGTAGGAAAACTTGACTGTTCAAACTTGACTGTCCAGAGGACAAAGAAAGTTGACCCATGGGATTGTGCAATACTTTTGGTGGATTCCCAGAGAATGGGTCCAATGGGGCTGTGTCTACACTGCAAAGCAATAGGGCTTGAACCCTGGGGTCCTGGCTCGACTCAGGCTTAACCCTCCACCCCCTTGAGCCTGGGTTAGTGCGATTTGTATGTAAATGGAAGAGGGGTTAGGCTGGAGCCTGAGTTTGAACCCTGGGCTTACATTGCAGTGTAGACATACCCACTGTGCACTCTTATAGGAGGTCCAGAGCTCTTCCTTTTGACCCAGAAGGCAGGAGTGAGAGACGGTGAGATACTGGTGCTTACATAGTTTGCGTGCAGCACAGTGAAGAACTCGGGGTTGGTGATGAACTTTACAGCTGGAGACTGTAGCAGCAAGGTGATTTTTTGAGAATTCACTGGAGAAAGGGACCCTTCTCTTCTAATTTCTGAAAATAAAAGTAAAACAATTGACTAGTACACATAACAGACAATACAACACAAATAGTGTCATTCTTATCTCCTCTGCCAGTACCAGCAAAGCCCACCCCACCACTCCACCATATTGTGTGACTTCTTTTTAATCTTAAAGTGAGGCTATGGTCATCCAAGTGACTATGTAAAAATGGCATCCACTCTTTTTGTGTCTTTGAGTCATATCTACTCACATGAATGACAAAAGTTTTCCCTGTGGTTAGCACTGCAGGGCAAATACAGCTACAGGAATGAGAGCTGGATGATTTTCTACATTGTATGTTATAAATTCTGGGCCACATCCTTAGCTGGTATAAACCGACATAGCTCCATTTACTTCAATAAATCAATGTAACTCTACTATCTTACACCAGCTGAAGATCTGATCCAATACTGTCAGCTAAGTTCTGACTGTAGAATCTTTCTTACTGTTGATGAATTTAGAGTGGTATCAAAACACACATGAGGTTTTGGGCTCTAGGCTCAGTTTGCAGCACTGATGCTTTTAAACCAAAAGCAGTTTTTGACCTACAATCTGAACAAATCTGATGTGGAAGTCATCAAGAGAATGAATACAGAACTACATAATATAATGTTGACAGTCACTTTTCTATCTATAATTACACCTGATCATTCTGTCCACTTAAGACCGTGAAAAAAGACTTTGTGATATAGCTCTCCTGACTCCAATGGAGTTAAACTGATTTATTTCACCTGAGGATACGACAGTGCACCTTTATTTGTGGATATTCACACATCCCTGTGGATTTCCCTTTAAATTAAAAAATTGGTACCAAATGCTACATTTTTTTCCTCTCTCCACAGCCAAACAATATATATAGCAAAGACACATTAAAAAGGCACATGCCACAGTTGATAGTTCTTTTTTACTAAAAAAAAAGGAAAGAAAAGGCATATTAAATCAAATCCAACCACCATTTATGTGAATGATTCCTGGCAGCATTATTATTATTAATTTAATATTTTATTATGTAAGTAACCTTTGAATTTATTATATGGAGATATACCTATCTCATGGAACTAGAAGGGGCCTTGAAAGGTCATTGAGTCCAGTCCCCTGCCTTCACAGCAGGACTAAGTACTGTCCCTGACAGATTTTTGCCCCAGATCCCTAAATGGACCCCTCAAAGATTGAACTCACAACCCTGGGTTTAGCAAGCCAATGCTCAAACCACTGAGCTATCCCTCCCCCCATAGTAATACTGTATATATGTAACAGTAATACTGTATGTCTACTGTAAATATGTATCCAACTTAATATTACAAGTAATATAAGTAGTAATAGAACACAGATCATATACCATTTCCATCTCAATTAACTATTAGCAGGTGGGATCAGGTATGATTCTCTATACCGAAGAAGTTCAGTTAAACTGAATCATAAAAATTGCAATACAAATGAGTGCAAAAGTGGTTATATATCATATGAAGTACTTCTGGTTATGACTTATAGTGATTTTAAAGGAAAAAGAAATAAAGATTCAGGCTAATAATAGACAAAACTAAGTATTTAACAAAGCTATTTTTAAAAAAAGCATAGATTAAATATTCACTCTGAATAGGCTTTCCTCTTCCAGGAGACATAAAAGGAGTTGAACCATAGGTCAGGCAGGCTATTTCCTGCTAATAAGAACTAGCCAGTAATGGCATGCAAACACAGGAGAAGGAGGAAAAGAGGTGATAGATGTAATAATAGACATAATCAGGTGGCAACCCTGCCATAGGTGTGAATTTTCAGAAGGGCTGAGTACTGATTGCGCGTGTTGCAGGCACAAGTTTAACTAACTGAATACACACCCATTTTTTTTGTGTCCACAAAGTGAAATGCAGGCACAAGTCTGACTGCTTGTGTTTCTCCCCAGGTGACTTGCACCTGCAATCAAGCATTTAGCGATGCAAGCACTCAGCTTTGCACTTGTCGTTCAATTGCAGGTGCAAAAATGTGTATGAACATTTTATGGGCACAAGATATGCGTGCAGAAGGGAGGGCTGGCCTTTTCAAATTTGGCCCATAATATCAAAATTACTGTGACCCAGGAAGCCCCTCACCGCCAACTGGATGTGGGCACACAGTACAATAACTCTCATCACACCTGACATACTCATTGCTCCAACTCGTTATCATAATCTGTATCTAAAAGGTGTCGTGTAAGATATCATATGCAAAATGGTAACATGCCGGTCATTAATATTATTGTGTGTTGTCTGTGTGGGTGATGTATAAAGAGTTATAGATGTGTGCTTGAAATGTGTTCCTAAAATGTAAGTGACAGACAGTGCCTAAACCCAGCCTGTTCTAGACAAAGGAATGTTGTTTCTCCGGCTTGACTGTATCTCCAGTGTAAATTAAGCAAGGTGTGACCAAAGACAATGAAAAGGACATTTACATGAAAGGTAAACAAATCCATTAGCCGAGCAAGTGGGGGGAGATAACCACTTAACAATCTCCATGGAGGATGGATCCCCAGGAAACCTTTCTGCCTCTTGAAACAGAGTCAAAGAACTTTGGGAAGATATAAGCAGAAGCAATAAGCTATCACCGGATGGACGCAAGGGATCAGAGCTATTGTAATCTGAGAAAGTCTCTGAGAAGTCACTATACATAAGAAATCTGCTTAGACCAAGCTTGTATGCAGTGCAGTTGTAGCCATGTCAGTCCCAGGATATTCAAGAAACAAGGTGGGTGAGATAGTATCTTTTATTGTACCAACTTCTCTTGGTGAGAGAGACAAGCTTTTGAGAACTCTGTGTGGCTCAAAAGCTTGTCTCTCACACCAACAGAAGTTGGTCCAATAAGAGATATTACCTCCCCCACCTTGTCTAGACCAAGACTGTAACTTGCTAGAATTAAGTTTTAGACACTAGAAGGCATGTTTTGTTTGTAATCTTTCCTATCTCTTTCATTCTTACTTGAGACCATTTAAATCTATCTTCTTTGTTAATAAACTGATTCTTATCTTATTACAGAGCCATATCAGTGCAGTGGATTAATATGAAGTATGGGTCCTCAGCCAAACCAGATAGCAAGTGTGAAAAATCGGGATGGGGTAGGGGGTAATAAGTACCAATATAAGACAAAGCCCTGAATATCAGGACATCTGGTCATCCTATTTTGGGGAGACAAGGGGCTGTTGGTGACACCCTGCAAAGAGTAACCATGCTGGTGGGAACCAGGGTGAGATAATTGTGCTGTGAGCAGACTACTTGTTGGAGCTCTGAGCCAAACCTGCACAGCACAGATGCCCCCAAGGTTATAGGACAGGCAGTGACACAACCCCTGGCTGATCTGGGTGAACCCCCATAGTGTCACAATCACACTATCACCAAAATGAAATAGTGTAGCTACTGTAACTGCAAGCTTGAGAAAATAGTCACTTTCTCCATTTTCATGTATAATACCTGGACATTCAAACCCAATCTATTGTAAAAACACTTTGTCTATGTAAGGACTCATTAAAAAAGCCCCCTAACACTTGCTTATATCCTTCTGAGGGGTCTATTCATGCTCTATACTCTCTTTCCTTTCACTTAGCCATTTCTGCTATAAAATACTGAAGCCTGAGTCTTCATCAGGGCACCGTGGTGTATCCAGCTTGTTTCCCAGAATGAAGCGACATCTGGTGCCACGTGCTGTTAATAGCTTCCTCTCCCATACCTGAGTTTGGCTGGGAAAAGTCTGCCTCAGAGTCACTTCCTCCTCCAATGGAGAGCCTCTCGGCTCTGTTGTTAACAACAGCATCATCCTCTGGCCTCTCTGTTGCAATAGTCCGCTGAATATTTTGATACCTGCATATTTTATGTGAAAGAAAAAAGGTGTTTTAGCTATACGTTTTGGTGGAATAATGGTACGAAGCATTTTGCTGCTCACAAAAATGCCTTTCTATCTCTTTCTTAATGAGAGTTGGAAAAATCAACACTTTTGAACAATTAAAATATTGCTAAAATCGACATGTACTTTTAAAGCACCAATGGGCCTGAGTCTTCCCTGTCTTGCACCTGTGCAAATCACCCACATTCCACAGGGATCAGTGACTATATAAGGCAAAAGGCAGGGAAGAATCAAGTCCCAATTTGTCATAGGTTAACATAATCAATCACATAGGGCTTGATCCTCTGAGGTGCTGAGTGTCCTCAACTCCCAACAATTGCAATGGGAGTATGCTCAATGTGTTCAACACTTCACCGCCTTGGCTCCATAACCAGTATTCATTTTTTTAAAACTAATCATTATTATTCATCATGTTTGTTGTGGTAGTGCCTAGGGACCAGCCGAGAACAGGCTCGTTGTGCTAGACACTGTACAAACACAGAACAATGGACAATCTCTGCCCCGAAGAGCTGACAATCTAATAGATAAAACAGACACAGGGTAGAGGAAAGTGGTGTAATACACAAGCGGAGTGAACAACATAAGGGCAGGACATGTCATGTTAGTTCCATGCTTTTTTGTGTGTGTATATGGATTGACTTTGGTGATGATAAGCTAAATGGAAAGCTGAAGGGAAAGAGTTGAAGGGGACAAAGCAGTGTTTAATTTGTGCCAGGGCTTGCCAGGGCTCAGCCCCGGTACCTCTAGGCTTGGCAGTTCAGAGCCCCAGCACCTCTGGGCTTGCTGCATCAGTTATGAACGTAAACATGTTGCTTGAGCGCTGGCGCCTCTTTCATTACAAATTAAGCACTAGGACAGAGCCAGTGAGAACAAGGAGGGAAACAAGGAGGACGAAGAAGAAGCAGGTGTGGAGTGAAGCTTTTAAAACCTTTTTCTCTGTTATGGCAGTTTCATGTTGATTGACTTCAATGAGACTACTCTTGGGCTTAAAGTTAAGCAGGTGCAAAATATTTTGCTGGATCAGGGCCACAGTGTTCATGTTGAAGGTTTGAATCCCATAAAGGATGTTCTCTTTTATGTGTTCATTATGTTTAAAATATGCAGTACACAGTACTAATTCTATGTATTGTAAAACAGAGATAAATAATGTGGGAAGTCAATCCTGCTGTAGCCATACTGGTGACTCATTCATTGAACATTTGACAGACTAGGAGTGAGAGAACCTCCATAGCTTCTAACCTTTATGTTCATGACCAGGCCCCAGACTGGGATTCTGATAATGTATGACAAGAATGTGACAAATTTTAAAAATTATTGAATGAAAAATATTTTTAAAAATAATAGATATCTATCTTGTTAATACTTTTAATGAGCTTCTGCCCCACCTTGATATTTTTAAACATTTTTTGTTGTCTCATTTTCATTAACTCTCAGCATTCATAATGGGCCAGATCCCCACCTGGCATAAATCCATGTAGCTTCATTGATTATATCTGATCTTTGGCCCAAGGTTCTTTGTTTCTCTTTTTCCTGGTTTCTGTTCTTCTTTCTTTCATCTGTGTGACTCCAGACTTATGAAGAGTATCCCTCCATTTTTCTCTTTTTTCTGTTGTTTTTTTTAAAATACGTATTTATGCCAAGTTAGATTCTGGCTTGAACTCCAACGGTTATATCTCAAAGTGCCATGACATCTCTGAAGACAAGTAGTCTGGACCTTGATTTTACATCCCATTCAAAAGACAGCATCTCCAGTAGCATACTAACTCTCAACAGGTTACTGGAGTTTAGGCTAAATTATGGAAAATGGGTGAAAATTTAATGGATTTATACTTAACTAACACAGTAGTTTTCATTTTCCTCAGTATTCCCAAGTTTTCCTTTAATGTAGCTTTTAATAGCTCAATAAATAACATATTTAGAATTGGTTAAAAAAGTAAGAGAATTGGGGATTTTTGTTTTTAGATAAACATACACCTTAGAAGCAAATTATTATAGTAGATTTCACAACTGCATTAATTTACCTCTACTTTTTCCCCTTTTATTTTATAACAAGCTTTTAAAATTTTTATTCACTTGACTGTAGGCTAATTGAGTAAACTTTCCACTCCAATACTGCAGGAGTTTTACAACACCCTTATGCAACAGCAGAGCAGAAAAAAGTAGTTAATATAGTCAAAAGTTTTATATATATGGTAACTGTAGCTTCAATTTAATTAGATGTTAGAAAATCCCCTGCTGGCAAACTTTACACAGTAATGCTAGCTGTATGCCAAAAACAAGCTACTTTTTTTTTGTCTAGATACTGTAAAATTGTCTTATATAAATACCAGAAAATGCCCATGTAATTGTAAAAAAACTTTGAAAGGGCAAAAGTTATGGGAATGTATTTGAAAATCACAGTCCCTTTTCAAAGTGATTTGTCAAAGAAATAATGGTTTAGAAAAACCACACTAGAGGCTGTTTTTACGGTACTATTATTATTTATTGTATCATTTATTATTATTATTATTCATGTAAAGACAAGTCTAGTTACACAAATGCTGCACAGTTTTACCAGATCACAGTGGATAGTTAACCAGGTCATGTAATTTGAACAGTGCTGGCTGTTTGCTTCAGTAACTTGAGGAAAGGCAAGAAGTGCTGTAGTAAAGGAGGAAGACTCTTCTAATAAAAAAAATATAGGGGTGTTTGGATCTTATCCAGACTGTAGGTCCCAATCCTGCATTCCCTATATAGACAAATTGTCCATTAAAGTCATTGGGGATCTCTGAGTATTCACAGAATGAAGGATTAGGCCCTTGGAACAGAATACTCTGTCATTCCTTTTTAAAACTAGATTTCCAATACTTTATGGTTTTGGCAGGGATGAAAATAGCAAGCTTTCCTAGTGATATTTTGGTATTTCCACTCCTTCTCCCAGATGAATCTAGGAAATGGGAAGGTGAACAGATTTGTGTGAAAAGAAAGTAGACTGAGCTTTTTTTCAAACCTCAAAATGTTTTGGGTTCCATTTTGTTTGAGTTTGGGGCAAAAATTCAGGCTGATTTTAATTACATCATCCAAGTTCTTTGTATACCTCACCTAGAAAGGATTTTCAAGCAGAGTTAACAAAAACTGTTCCAGGTAATGAGGTTTGACCTACAGTAACAAAACTTTTTTAAAATAGTTGTTGAAAATAATATTCAAGACTAAGTAGTGGTTTTCAACAACAGCTTAAGAAAAGGTTTTTCTCGCAAGCTGGTAATCCAAGTTACCTGAATTTTTTGAATGAGCTAATCTTAAAACCTGGTTCAGGACAGATAATTTCTCTATTTCACCCGGCCATAAAATATTAAAATTGCTTCCCAATTTTGAAATACACAGGTTGGTGATGTTTGTTGCAATGGCCAATATGTATCTCTTTTGCTGGAATTTTTGGAAATATCCATGGCTACACATATACAAACATTGGCATGACAAGAGAAGCCTCTTAAAGACTTGGTGGTCTATTCAGCATTTTTACTTAATGGAGCTCTTTTACAGCAGAGATTAAAGAATTACCAGATGGCTTTTTTTGTGCTAAGAAACCATGGGATTCCACAATTACTCAGTTGTAATGTGCTTAGTCTCCACTGGGAATCAAGTGAGGAGAAATACGCTACTAATGAAAATCCCCTCCGCTTCTCACTATATATCCTGAATGTACAAATGCTAAAAAATACCCATATACAGATGAGCAACAAAAGTATTATTGGCCTAATTACAGTGTATTAAATCATTAATGATCAAATCCTAAACCAAACATGGGTGTCAAGAAAGGAATCAAACTATATGAAAACATAGAAAACTAAAATGTAAACCAAGGATGTCACGTCTGTGGTTCTTAACCAGGGGAACATGTACCTCTGGGGTATGCAGAGGTTTTCCAAGGGGTACATCAATTCATCTAGATATTTGCCTAGTTTTATAACAGGCTACTTAAAAAGCACTAGTGAAGTCAGTACAAACTAAAATTTCATACGACTTGTTTATATTGCTCTATATCCTATACACTGAAATGTAAGTACTATATTTATTTTCTAATTGATTTATTTTATAATTATATGGTAAAAAATGAGAAAGTAAGCAATTGTTCAGTAATGGTGTGCTGTGACACTTTTGTATTTTTATATCTGGTTTTGTAAACAAGTAGTTTTTAAGTGAGGTGTAACTTGGGGGTATGCAAGACAAATCAGACTCCTGAAACGGGTACAGTAGTCTGGAAAGGTTGAGAGCCACTGACTTAGGACATGTCTACACTAGCACTTATATTGGCAAAACTTTTGTCACTCAGGGGTGTGAAAAAACATTAGTTTTTCCAGCATAAGCATTCATGTGCACAGTGCTATGTCAGCGGAAGATGCTCTCCCACCGCCATAGCTACTGCCACTCATTGAGCTGGTTTTATTATGTCGACAGGAGAGCTCTCTCCCATCGACATAACACTGTTACACAAGTGCTCTTACAGCTTCACAGCTGTATCAGTACAGCCGTGCTACTGTAAGCTTGTAAACGTAGATATGGCCTAAGGGTATTGCCAGTTAACCTGAGCTAGCTAACACAATTGTCATTTCTAGTTTAGACACTCACCAACGTTTGTTCCTGGTTGTTTGTGGCTCACCCAAGAGAGATTAGCCTCATGGAACAAATGGTGACTGTCTACAATAAATTTACGATGGTATCCATTAGCTCAGCTTAACTGGTATTCAATTAACTCAAGTTACAGCACAACAAAAAACTATAATTTACACAAGCCCTTGATGGCTGCAGACAACATCTATCCAATTCACTGCAAGGGCTTTCTAGAAACGCCTGTCTTTTCTTTATAAATTAATATGGTAGCTTGGCACCTTCTGAGGAAAATTATAATTAAAACAAACTATTGCAAGTTCTTACCACTATAAACAAAATTATACTATGGTAGTCAAATGCCCACTCTGTGCCCAGTATGCTAGGTTTGGAGAGAAGAGGAGGACAATTCCTCATGGACCTGTTTGTGGTTATGATCTATTTTGCACGATAGACATTTTCAGAAAGCTGGTTAGCCCTTAGGAAAACTCCCTGATGGCTGTCATCAGCGACCATTTTCTCCCTACAAAGGATCCAAGTAACTCCCATCTTATTTTCCTGCCATGGAAAGAAGGACCTTTCAAGCACTCTCTCTGTCTCCTAGCTTGGCGCTCTGATGATCCCCAAATGATGTTTTTAAAGTACTAGAAAAACCCAAACCAACCTTCATGCCATTTTAAAGCCTATAATCAGAGGATAACAATTTCAGTCTTGCTTATTTAAATAAGAAACTATATCATTACAGGAAGCAGGGGCAGAGGATGAGAAAATGTTTTCTGAGGTAAGAGTGTAAGATTATTGCCTAGCTATATATTTCTTTTACTCTTCTTCCCTCAATTCATTCTGAAATACAAGGAAACAAAGGAAACTAACAAATCTTTCTTTGTGTAGAGTAGTAGTTGAATAGACATTGGTATCAGTGATAAAGCTGCCTCATTTGGAGGGAGACTCCTTCTCTCGGGATTCACTTTAAGGAAGTGTTTCTAGTTTCCTCCAGCTGTGCAAAGGGCTTTGACATGTCTTTCAGTAGGATACTCATTAGCACTCACTATTTAAAACAAATATCTCATTCATGCTGTGTCACAGCTTGTCAGCCTTGCTGATGTCAACAGCTACATGTTGGTGTTTCCCAACCCATGGACCTGGCTGCACTTGGGAAGGAACCACTAGAGCGCTATAGTGGGGACATGATAATTTCAACTGCATGAGCATCCATAACATTCAGCCATCAGCACTGGTGGAGAAAAATTACAAAGGGAGACTCTCAGCAACTAGAGCTGTTGCTTTCCTGACCTCATCTCTGAATAGCTCCCAAAAGACTGGGGTAGGTGTATAGGTGTAGCAGCTGGAGGAGCACAGTGGAGGTCTGGAAGCTGAAGCACCTCAAAGCAGTGGGGCTGAAGCCTGAATTCAGAGCTTGATTGCTTGACTCTTCTTCATATTGTCACCCAGACCATCTGTCCTCTGCTCTCATAGGTAACACAGAAGCTCTGAAGAATCCTGCCTCCCCACCCCCACCTGCACTGATCCTTCTCATAAGTGGTGGGAGAAAAGTGAAGGGAAGCCATGATAGGACCAACTTCTGTTAGTCCAAGGGACAAGCTTTTGCATTTCACAGAACTCTTCTTCTTCTTCAGGTGTGGAAAAGGAAATTAGAGTGCCCAAGCGAAATATAAGGTGGGACAGATTGTTAAGCATACGGGGTTCACACATATTGTAGGAGACCACTTAAAATGAAGTAAGCAATTAAAACTTCAGCAGCCGTAGGACAAAGGAGTGTTAGTAGGCAGCAGAGTGTGTTATAAGTTGTTGTAATGGGCCATAAAACTAATGTCTCTGTTAAATCCATGGTTTTTAGTGTCCAGCAGAGTTATGTATTTAAGTTCCCAGGCTTGTCTTTTGAAGGTGTTGTAGAGGTTTCCTTTGAGGATGAGGACTGAGCACATGTCACTCTTTGTGCAATGCACTATGTTCACTTTGTGTCTCTAGACTGTAATCTGTTTGGTCAGGCACTTTGCTATTTTTAAACACTACTTCCTGTAGTAAAGTACCATATAGACTTATGGAACTACATACAAAATACTAATTAAAAAGTACAGTCTTTTATAATTGTAAAGCCAGCCTGAAAGGAGCACTGAAAACTATTTCAATTTATTTTGGGCTCCCAAATTGCCAGTGCTAAAAATTTC